CCCCTCCCCGCCCCAAGAAATCTTTCATTCATAAATTCTCCACGGTAACCGATCACAAAAGCTGAATGGCATTGCTCCCAGTGCCCAAGGGTCTTCCTCCTTTGGGAGATTCTGCACGTGCAGGATGAGACAGGAAGGGACTCTGAGGGGACCATGTGGGTGCCCAGAATGACCCAGCCACATCACGATTCTTGGGCCACTCTCCACCCTAACAGGCTGACCTGGTGGGTGACTGGGGAGCGAGTGTAAAAGCCACAGCAGATGAGACATATTGAGGTTGGCTTCTAAGAAAGAGACGTTGGGTAGTGGACGTGGTCAGTTACGAGAGGTCGGGGCTGCTACTCCTTGCATATTCACACCTTCTCGGTACAGCCGCCTGAAGTCCTATCTAAGATTCCAAGTAAGACAGCCTCCCCATACACCTCAGACAACATCTTGTCCAGTTAATCCTCACAATAGCCACCACTGAGAAACTGAAGGAAGGAGGTGAGGCTTAAAGAAGGCAAATAGCATCCTTGAGGGCACTCCGGCACTAGACAGAGCAGCCAGTTGCCTTGGTTAGCTGACGCCGCTGTAACCAAAATAACCCAACCAAGTCACATTTGTGAGCAGTCGGATGCTCTCAGTTTAAGGAGGTGAGCCGTCTGAAGTGACAGCATCGGCTCCGGGGTGGGGCTCTGTCTGCTCTGAGGGGAAACCTCTTTGTCAACTTCTCCATCTTCTCAGCACTCCATGGCGATCTCCAGGGAACATTTGTGTGTGCTTTCTCTGTGCCCAATCTGCTCGGTTCATATCTCAAAATGGGTGAGGCTTATGACACATCCTACCCTGGTATGGCCTCATTAACATCCCAGAGAAAAACGGGATTTCATCCACAGGTTTCCGAGTGGGATTGTATCCACAGGTATAGGGGTTGGGATTGACAACACATGCCTTGGGGAGACACAACTCAACTCAACCCATACGACCCAGGTAGACACCAAGCCCCCCAGCCTCCAGAGCCTGGCTCCATAGGATCTACCAATCACCTACACACAGATAGCTCAGAGCCCCGGACAAACTTGAGCAGTCTTCAATTATGATGGGAACCTCCTCTGTTTTAGTCCATCCTTTTTCTGGGAAAAAGTGATGTGTATAATATCTTTATCATGAGCTCAGCTGTTTTTTAAGGCACCTTTCCATCCCCAATATCATGTGAAAAGCAAAATCGCATGCCCATCGAACTGATTCCATCCCATAGTAACCCTGTAAGACAGGCTAGAACTGGTTCTAAACGGCCCCAAGAAGCACCACTCTGTCCAAAGAGCAGGACTGCAGACAGAAGAGCAGCTGAGGTCCACTCTCCTACTCCGTGACTCCCCATCTCTCCAGCATGTCATCACCTCTCTTTGCAGCTCTCGATGCTCCGTCTGGCCTGGTGACAGCCAACATCACCGATTCAGAAGCCTTGGCCATATGGCAGCCGGCCATTGCCGCTGTGGACAGTTATGTCATCTCCTACACAGGAGAGAGAGGTAAAGTGCAGTCCAAGACCCCACCCCTCCCCTGCTAAGGAGCGTCCGTTCTGCTGGGAACTCTTTCCATTCTCTCTTCTCTGTGCCTCACTTGGTCCAGGAGGGCAAAATTGCGGGGTTGGCCAGAAAAGTCAGCATTGTCTATATGGCTCTTAACTTCAACTCATGGTGAGCTTGTGTGTTTCGGAAGGAAGTGTGGTGCAAGGGCATGTGGTACCCAGATGTAGCAGGGTAAGCCCCTAGACAGTGGCTCCAGCTTTATAATACAACCTCAGAATAAACTCATGGGCTAGTGTTGGGGATAGAATATGAGGTCAAAGGACCTGTTCAAGGAGGAGCAAGAGAAGGAGGCCCTACCCATACTCCCCTGCTCATTGTCAAGCTAAAGAGCACAAGCAGTTATTCTGAGGAGCCTAGAAAGCCGCTCAAAGGTGAAGGGAGTACGTCACCAGCCCCGATTTGTTTGTCCCCAGCCCGGTGCCCCTCTCTGCCTCCCAGGGCAAGGTGCCCTCTCTAGGAAGTAGCTCTCATCTTGACAAAGAGTTGCCAAGATCTGTACCTTGAAACACTACAGGCAATGCGGAGGGGCCCGAGCTCCTCAGAGGCCACAGAGGAGACCTGTGGTAGGAAACTTGATGTTTTAAAAGTAAAGTGCCAGAAAGCATGGCCATTAGCAAGTAAAATAAAATTAAACATAAGAGAGAGGTGGAGGAAAAAGAGCTTCGTTTTCAGTGAGCAAATCCATAATTTTGGGATGAACTACTTTTAAGAGCCAAACTTCATATTTTAACATCTAAGTTTACTGTTTTGTGGCTCTGTGTCATTTTCCTTGCAGTGGTGATCTGACAGGGCACCATCATGGCCAACACAATGATCAGATGGCACCAACTTGTCCATGTCTACCAGGGCCCATCCCAGTTTTAGCACAGCTTCCAGACAGAGAGAGACTAGCAAGAAGGCCCTGGCCATCTACTCTGAAAATCAGCCAGTGAACGGCTATGGATCACCAATGCTCAGATCTGTCACTGATCATGGGTTTGGCACGGGATCTGGCTTCGTGTCACCTCACTGTGCATGGACTCCCCAGGAGTCTAGGGATGACAAGAGGCTGGCTAGCCCAACAACAGCACCCTGGGCAGCTCCTGGGTCCCCTATGGGTAGGGTCTAAATGAACACACCTGGGCATCTGGCTTCATTTCCACAGTTGGATCCAACACAGTGAACTGAGAGGCAGCAACCAGGCTGGTGCCAAATTGGTGTGTTCCCACAGCTTAATGGTTTGTCAAATTCTGACACGTTATGAAAGGAGTCTGAGTCAGTTAGAGAGAGGACAGTGGGCAAAGAAGAGGGCAGATTGAATCAGCTGGGCAGAAACTTGAGGATGTTACCTGCAATTCTCCTCCAGCTCATGCCTGTCTCGGTTGCAAAGCTGTTCCAGCCAGAACCAAGTGGAAAAAAATCCCCTGACCCCTAGTTCCCCTTCTTTCTGATTTGATGCCTGGAAAAATTGTGTCGCCATATGATGAATCCTTTGCATATGAGGTGAACCCTCAAGAGAGAGAAAGGGTGTGAGTCATGGCAGAAACCAAACCTGCTTGTCTGCAGGGTCACTGAAAGTTTCTGTGTGTTGTTCGCCAAATCCTCCAATGGCTCAGACGGCAAGAGGTAACTGCCTCGTATGTGTGTTTCTCGTTCAGTGCCAGAAATTACACGCACCGTGTCGGGGAACACAGTGGAGTACGCACTGACCGACCTGCAGCCTGCAACGGAGTACACCCTGCGAATCCTGGCGGAGAAGGGGCCCCTGAAGAGCTCAACCATCACGACCAAGTTCACAACAGGTCAGAAGGCATCTTCCCTCTGAGACACTTGGCCAGATCCTAAACAGAAACCCTCCTCTGAAGTCAGATGCTCGCAAAGAGATGATGTCAAAAGCAGCTAGACTCGCCAGTGCCCACTCACTGAAGACCCAAAGAAACACAGCACTTCCTCTTGTACTGAAATGACCTTGGTCTCCCCACAGACTAGGAAATGATTTTAAGAGGAAGGCTTTTTAAGTGGAAAACCAGTCCCCACTGGCCCTAACCCCGGGAGTTAATGATCCATGTTCTACATAGGGAAATGTTTTTAAGAGATTTTTCAGATGATTTTTCCTAGATGCCTGGTGGGTTTTTTATACATTGAGTTCTTTTTACAAACCTCAGCAAGCAGGGAAATGTGAGGGATGACCTCTCAGTAGGGGTGAGCATCAAAATTAACAGTCAACTGCCCTTTTATTGAGAATCGAGGGGACTGGTAATTATGTCCACTGCTGTATTGCTCTCTCAAAACTCAGCCAAGACGATGGGAAGCTCCACAAAAGCTGGTCCTTAGGGCAGAGAATCACAGCAAGATTATGCCCTCGGAGATCCTGTGGCTCAACTCATTCCTTTATGGATGGAGAAGGTTGTTGCCCAAGGTCCAATAAGAAAAGGATGCAACCCAGACTTCCCGAAACCTAGCCAGAGATGTTTGCCCTGCATTTATTGGTTTTATATTGAATGTCTTTATCTTCTACAGACCTGGATTCTCCAAGAGACTTGACTGCTACAGAGGTCCAGTCGGAAACTGCCCTGCTCACTTGGAGACGCCCCCGGGCATCTGTAACTGGTTACCTCCTGGTCTATGAATCCGTGGATGGGACAGTCAAGGTATCTTGAAGTATAGACACACCCCAAGCTGTTGTAGGCATTTTCATAATGCTCAGAGTAGGGAAAAATTATCCTGGTGATATTCCTTAGCCCCGGGCAACTGAGGAGCTGGAAGGGGAGTGGGGATTAAGTAGGGAGGGGACTATCGCCAGATCTGTGACTCACCCTCTGCCCTCTTTCTCAGTTTAACCACATTCAGAGGCACTGGGGGCTTGGCTTTCTACATGTCTTTGGTGGGAACACTATCAGAGCCCCTCCTAGAGCTGGTCTAACAATGAACTAACTCACTGTGTAAACTGAGGCAAGTCCTTCCTTCTCTGAGAATCAATGTTCACATCTGTAAATTGAGTAAGTAGGACTGGTCGATCGATCAGTAAGGTTCCCCGATGGTCTAGTTTTCTGTGTCTCTCCCCAATCTGCTGCAATGGCCATGAAAGGGCTGTGCATAACACCCTGAGGAGCTGACAAGTAACCGGATGCCCAGGTAACTCGATTACTCCACTGTAGAGCTTCTCATTGATCCCTCTCCCAGGGAACAGCCCAGGAGCCTCCCAAAGGTCACTGGGTCATGTTAGGAAATTGATACTTACTCAATTTATTTCCTCACCTGTTCAATCCTCAGCATTTTATGTCTCCCTAGAGAAAACTGACCAGGTGTTGGAGGACCAAGATGCATAGTCATTTCCTCTCACTGACAAATGATGACGCCTGAGCCAAACGTTTAGCCTCTTTGAGACTTTATTGTCCCACAAGTAAACTCAGGATGACATGCCTGCCTGTGTTAGTCTGGGTACATTAGAGAAACAAATCCATAGAAACTCATATGTATAAGAGAGAGTTTTACATAAAGGGTAAGTGCACATCAAGAAAACATCCCAACCCAGTGCTGCGCAAACCCACAAGTCCAACATTAGCCCATTTGTCTGACACTGATCCACAAAGTCCTCTTCCATCTCACAAAACATATGCAATGATGCCGACTGCAGGAGGAAAGCTGAGTCAGTGAATGTGTAAGCATCTCAGCACTGGCAGGGGCTCCACACGGCTGCTCCAGCACCCAGGGCTACATCGGGATAGGGCCATGTGGCTTCTCCTCAGGGATGTCTTGCAGGAAGTGAGCCTTGCCAGCTAAAGCAGGGAATTGGCTAAGGCAGCTGCACCCTGGTCCGACCATCACAAAGCAAGAGACCCGAGAACTCAAAAGGCAAGACTCACTGAGCCATTTATCCCTCTGCCCTTCAATTAACCCCTCATCTGTTTCTCAGCCAGGTTGTCACAATAAACTAACTACCTCACTGTCCCAGTCCAATGAGACAGTGCAGCCTTCCAGAGACCCCAGGCCCATTTGTCAGTGCCCAACCCCAGTCTTCAAGTCTGTCTTGAAAGGAGGAAACCCAGAATGCTCCTTAGAAGTAAGGAGGGCAAGACTTCATCTGGCTCAATTTGGACAGGTTGTCAGGGGAGACCAGTCCCTGGAAAAGGACAGCACTCTTGGTAAAGTAGAGGGTCATCAAAAAAGAGGAAGACCCTCAATGAGCCAGGTTGACACAATGGCTGAACAATGGACTCAGACATAACACTCATTGTGCGGACGTGCAGGACTTGGCAGGGTTTTGCTTGGCTGTACATAGGGACACTATGAGGTGGAGCTGACTCGGTGGCACCTAGCCCCAGCAGACCCAATCGGCCGGGTTTGCAGGCTCTGGAGAGCAGTATTGTGTGTGGTTTAATGGGGGTGAATTGGAAGCTAGAAAGGAAGTTTAAAAGAGGCTCTCCTGCAAATGGAAGGCAGTGGCTCTGTGCGGTAACAGCAGAGCAAACAGCCACAGGTACTTAAGGAATGCTCAGGCCAGTAGCAGCCGCCTCTCCCGGATGACTGTGTTTTGGGAAGAAACCTTCCAGGCTAGCTCAGGGCTTCATCGTGCCATGGCTATTGTGTTACTATGTCATCTTCACACCCCCAAAGAGCCCCAAGCTAACTATACGTCAGAATCATCTGGGGACTTCTTAGACACCGCTGTCTCATACTTCTCCTGACTGTTCACACTTGGCCATCATGTGGGTTTAAAGCTTTCTAAGGTACTATGATAGGGGCCATATTTGAGGGCCACCTGGCTAACTGGTCTCAAAGTCTAGCCCTTTGCCCACTGCACAAGTCCTGTTGCCCCTGGGTGAAGGCTGTTAAAGTACAGCGGGGTTCGTCTCATTCACATGCTCAAAACTTTTGGGGGGGTTCCTCATTCTTTTTAATGATAGAGTTCCAATTCCAAAGGGTACATGAGGCCCTTTGTAAGCTGGCCTCTGCCCACCCTGCTTATCATTCTTCAACCCGAAACCAAGTGTGGTTGAGGTTGTTGTCTCATCGCCTTATTGAATGCGTTCTTCCTCTTCGGGCCCCCAGCCTTTACCCAAGGTGCACGCTCTCCATTCCCAATGGACCTGGTCTAGCATGGGTACCCAGTAGACGCTTGTTGGGTGACTACGTGAATGGAGGGTTGAATGAATGATTGCCTACAATTTATGCTTTAAGAATTTCTGTGGCCTAAAGCAATTTTATTCTTTCTTCTGTTCATAGGAAGTCATTGTGGGTCCAGACACCACTTCCTACAGCCTAGCAGATCTGAGCCCATCCACCCATTACACGGCCAAGATCCAGGCATTGAATGGGCCCTTGAGAAGCAAGTTGATCCAGACTATCTTTACCACAAGTAAGGGGTCCCTGGAGACCAAGTGAGCCTTGAGAGTCCAACAGTACGAGGTGGAGTCAACCCTCCACTAACTACCCTGTTGACCTCTTCTTTCATTTAAAAGAAATGCATGTCTTCAAAGGCTTGAGCCTTTTACAGTCGGAAGCCCCAGAGTCCCTGGGTGGCACAGAGGGTTAAGAAATCAATTACTAGATGAAAGGCTGACATTTTGAACCCACCCAGAGGCACTTCAGAAGACAGGCCTGGTGATGGCCTTCCAGAAAATCACAGCCTTGTAATCCTATGGCGCATAGCCCTGCTCTGATCCCATGGGGCCACCATGGGTCAGAATCAATGAACAACAACACCAAGCACCTGAAAGCCCAAAGAATATGGTGCGGCAGGCTTGGGGCACCATGAAAGGGCAGGAGGACTGGTTGTGAACACACCTGGACCAATCCCGTCTGCACCACTTGTTCTGTGTCACTTAGGAGAATTACTTCCAGGTCTTCATCGATCATAGGATTGGTAATTATCCCTTCCTCAAAAGATGAAGCACTGTATTTGAAGTCCTAGGCCAGTAAATAGCCCTTTATCAGGGTTTATTATAAGCAGTGTCCTTACCCCTTTCCTTCAGCACTTCAGAGTTTCTAAGAAGTCCTCCAGCAAGCCAGTACCAGGGTCCAATTTCCTGGTGAGCAAACGGAGGCTCCCAGAGACTAAATGACCTGCTTCAAGGCTACCTTGTGAGTTAAAGTCAGAGCCAGCCTTTTAGAGCCAAGGGGCCTCTCCCTGAGCCCTACCACTTGGCATCTGCTGCAGATGGTAAACATGCATGCTGTTCCATTGGTCCAAACCAAAGGAAGAGCCATTGTGTAAAGAACCCTGAACCTGGGACACACTGAGTGAGCATGTGCCAACCTCTCACACCCCAGTCAACAGTTCTGCTTCCAGCTGGAGAGGGAGATGCGTTTTCTGTGCCAGCTCTTACGCCCGGTGCTGAGGGCACAAGACTCTGTGCTTGCGCTAACGATGCTCAGACTTAGGCTGTAAAATAAACACAAAACAAGGAAACCATGATTCAGCTCAGCTGAGGGTCGGGAAAGTAAAGTCCATGGAGTATCAAATCAGATAAACCCCCTTGGTCAACACGGATGAAATAAAGCCCTGACATGGTTCAACCTCAAGTTTAACTTCTTCTATCACCTTGTTCTATCGCGCTTGAGAGCTTCCCCTCTTCAGTGAAAAAGAGGAAGGCCCTCAACAAGAACTGACATGGTGGCTGCAGCCATGGGCTCCGGCAGAGGAACCATGGTGAGGCTGGTATAGGACCTTGCGGTGTTGCCTTCTGTGGTGCACAGGGTCACAAGGGGTCAGAGCCAGCTCAATGGCAGCTAACAACAACAAGATCGCTAAGGCGCAGAGCAGTTGGCTGACTTCTCAAATGTCACACCGAGAGTGGCAAGCTCAGGACTAGAACCTGGGTCTCTGACTTCCCAGTCTGCTGAGATGCAACTATACCAGGGATTCAAATATCTTTGTCTGGGGCGATCACAAATTCAAACCTTTTATCATACTTTTAAAAGCAGCCTGTACTCTAACCAAGGGCACTGTTCCCCAGTGGGCCACCCAATGTGGGTTCGAAGGTCAAGCCATGCAGTCCTGGGCCCCTGGTGTTCATCAGGGCCCTACCTGATGATCTCCACCGAGATCAAGGCTGACCTAGCATTCGCTGTTCACAGAGCCCAGCTCCATCAACATGAGAGACCAAGACTGCTCCTTTGTGTAGAGAAGCTCAGAGTGCTAAACCCCCCACAGAGCAGGTGATCTCCCTCTTGGTGCACACAGGAAACAACCTCTGGGAAGTGAAGTTGCTTGCCCAGAGGAGTCTTGCCAGGCAGCTGAGCTGCCCTTTGAAAGTGCTTACCTCATTCTCCCTGCTTCTGAAAAAGCCACCCTTTCTTCTTACTCCACAGTTGGACTCCTGTACCCCTTCCCCAGAGACTGCTCCCAAGCCATGCTCAACGGAGACACCTCCTCCGGCCTCTACACAATTTATCTGCATGGCGATAAGGCCCAGGCCCTAGAAGTCTACTGCGACATGACCTCTGATGGGGGTGGCTGGATTGTGAGTACCACGGATATGAGAGAGTCCCGTGCTTTCTGCCAGTGAGGGAGGGGCAGGTGGAGAGGAGAGCTTGGTGGAGGCAGGAGGGGAGGAAGGGAGCATCCCTGTGTGCTCTAATCCTCATGCAAAACAGCGTGTGTCCCTCGGATGCTCTGGATATTTCCCTATTAGACAAAGAAAGAGAAAGAAGCAGGAGATTTCGTCTGAAGCCAGGGGAAAAGTGTTTATCTCATCGGAACGTCCTCAGACAATTACACTCCTGCAAAGCACAACTGGCAGAGAACATGGCTCCTGGCGCTGACTGGGCATTCACAGTCCACTAGGCACCTTGGGAGCTGGTGTTCCTGTGCTCAGAAAGGCACCCTCTGCTCCTGCCCCAGCATAAATGCCCCAGGCTCATTCATTGTCTTTGTAGGTGTTCCTGAGACGCAACAGTGGACGGGAGGATTTCTATCGCAACTGGAAGGCCTATGCTGCTGGATTTGGGGACCGCAGAGAAGAATTCTGGCTTGGTAATTAATACTGCCCAGCTGATTGGGTTCTGCCCCCAAATTCCCCTTGCAGCCTTTTGATCATTTGCCCTGACCCACAGCTCCCTATAGGAGAGATTTGGATAAGGAATCTCGCATGCACAAACAAAAAGACTGCTCAGTGGCCTGGGCCATTAACATTTAAAATCTGAGGGAGAGCCAACAGGCAGGCCTTTAAGAATGCGCCTGGTCTTAAGTCAGTCCCTGAATGGCTTACAGGATTATTCTTGCTGCTATCACTGACTGCATCTGCCCTGTGTACTAGATAAGATGGGTAAATTGCTACAGGGATAGGTTTATATTCTAAACCTCCCAACACATCCCCTCCCCCCAGAATCGATTTTATCTCCGTTTTACACGAGAGGAAACACGTGCTCAAAGAGGTTAAGCTGCTTGGTTGTAGGAATCTCAGTAAGAAGTGATTGAGCTGCAATTTGGAAGCTCCAATGTTAAAAGGATAATGTTACTACCCATCCATGCGTGCAACCCACACCTTCTGACAATTTGCCTGGCCTGGCACTGAGCACTGTTCTATGCACCATTGCCTGGGCTGGGAACGCTTACCTTTGTGTCCCCCAGAGCCTTATCTCCTCTGATCTTCACAATGCACCAGGAGGTTGGGAGGGAAAAGATTATCAACTCACTTTCACCTGAGGCTCAGAGACAGTCTATCGGTTGCCAGCACCGCCTCAGCCAAGCTTCCAGGTGGGGTTTGTAGTGCAAACCCCTGGTCCCTCTGCAGCTGTTGCGGGGCGGAGTGGAAATGAAGCTCCTCGCTACTTGTGCTTCTGCAGCAACCATGTCTGTCTTCCGCAGGGCTGGACAACTTGAATAAGATCACAGCCCAGGGCCAGTACGAGCTCAGGGTGGACCTGCGGGACCATGGAGAGACAGCCTACGCCGTCTACGACAGGTTCAGTGTGGGCGATGCCAAGACGCGCTACAAGCTGAAGGTGGAGGGCTACAGTGGCACAGCAGGTACAGAGCAGCGGCACACCCCCTCACTGCTTCCCTCTTCCCTTCAGTCATTGATGTATGCATTCAACAGCTATCTGAATACCTAAGGAAAAATTGCTGACAAATAAGTTCCCACTCCTGATGATCCTCCATATCTCAGAGTCAAACTCTGCTCCGTAGTGTTTTCCAATTCTTGGACTTGAATCTCCATCCTTTTCGTTAGCAGCTGAGGGTGATACCCATTTCCACCATCCCGGGCCACCCTTTGAATACTGTTAGGGGTTAAATTATGTCTTCCAGAAATATGTGTTGTAAATCTTAACCTGTGGTTATAATCCCATTTGGAAATCAGCAGGATTCTTGTAAGATGCCCTAGGCTTGGCTCCAACTCTTAGCAGCCCGACAGGCTATCGAAAGAAAGGCAGCCCAGCCCTGCGCCATCCTGACAATTGTTTTTAAGTTCAAGTTCATTGTTGCAGCCATTGTGTCCATCCCTTTCATCAAGGGTCTTCCTCCTTTTTGCTCACACGCTACATACAAAGCATAGTGTCTTTTTCTAGGAACTGGTCTCTCCGGAGCTTCTAAGAGCATATTGCCTGTGCTTCCTCTGAGACAGATATATTTGTCCTACAGGTAGTCCATAAGATTTTCAATGTTATTTGCCAGACCATCATCCAAGGCCTCAATGGTCTTCCCTATTTATTACCCAGCTTTCACGTGTATATGAAGTGATTGAAAATACCGTGGCTTCTATCAGGCTCACCTTAGCCCTCAAAGTGACATCTTGGCTCTTGAGCAGTGTAAACAGGGACTATGCGTCGGCATTGTCTCGATGGCAGTGAGCTTGGTTTGGCTTTGGTGCATCCGTTTTGACCAATGGGTTTCTTGGCTCCTGTGTCCATGAATGTTGATTGCGTATCAAAGTAAAACGAAATTTTGATAGCCTCAGTCTTTTCGCGTTTTATCGAGATGTTGCTTATTGACCCCGTTGTGTGGATTTTTGTTCTCCTGGCACTGAGTTGCGATCCACACTGAAGGCGGTCATCTGTGATCATCATCAGTCAGTGCTTCAGATCGTGAAGGTAATTTAGTTTCAGCAAATGAGGTGTACCATCAGCATATCACAAGTTGTTGATGAGCCTTCCTCCAATCTTGATGCCGCCTTCCTCTTCACGTAGTACAGCTTCTCAGGTGATTACCTCAGCATACAGATTTAATAAGGATGGTGAGAGGATACAACCCTGACATACATCTTTCTTGATTTTAAACCATGTCGTATCCCCTCTTTTCTGTTCAAACATCTGCCTCGTGGGTCTATCTACAGATTCCACAGGACCACAATGAAGTGTTCTAGACTTCCCATTCTTCCCAAGACTAGCCATAGTTTCTTATGACCCATGCAGTGGAATGCCTTTGAGTAGTCAATACAGCACAAGAAGGCAGCTTTCTGCTGGTCTCTGCTTTCAGTCAAGAGCCATCTAGTGCCAGCAATGATAGTCCTCATTCTAAGACTCCTGAATCTGCCTTCCATTCCTGGAAACTCTCTGTCCGTGTACTGCTGCAACTGTTTCTAAATTATCTCCTGCAAAATTTTATTTGCAAGTAGTGTCAGTGATATTGTTCTATATTTTGTGTATTCTGTTGGGTCCTCTTTCTTTGGAATGGGTACAAATATGGCTCTCTCCCAGTCAGTTGGTCAAATAGATGTCTTCCAAATTCCTTGGCGTAGATGAGGGAGTGCTTTCGGTGCTTCATCAGCTTGCTGAAACATTTTAACTGGTATTTGCCAAATCCTGCAGCCTCGTTTTTCACTAGCACCATCAGTTCCATTTAGACTTCCTCCTTCACTACCATCTGTTCTGGATCATATACTACCTCTTACAGTGGTTGCGTAGTGAGCAGTTATTTTTGGTACAGTGACACTGTGTCTGTCTTCCATCTTCATTTGATGCTCCCTAAATAATTCAATATTGTCTCCCTGGAAGGATTCAATGTGGCAACCACAGGCTTGAATTGTGCTGCACGATTTCGACTGGAAATGTGCTGCACCTGTCTCCCCTTTGGTTTTCTAGCTCTGGGTCTCTGAACATTTCATTATGGTGCTTTACTTTGTCTTCTCCAGCTGCCTTCTGAAATGTTCTGTTCAGTTAGTTGACGGCTTCATGGCTTCCATTGCCTTAGCAATTAAAAGCAAGTTTCAGAATCTCTTTTAACATGCACTTTCATCATTTCTTTCTCTTCTGTCTTTTTTGTTTTGTTTTGTCTTTTAAAGGTCATTTTATTGGGGCTCTTGCAGCTTTTATAATACTCCGTACTCGGTTCTATCAAGCATATTTGTACATATGTTGCCATCATTATTTCCTAAACATTTACTTTCTATTTGAGCCCTTGGTATCAGCTCTTCTTTTTTCCCTCCCTCCCTTCCTCCCGCCCTTATGACCCCTTGATAAACTTTAAATTAGTTATTTTCATATCTTATACCGACCACTATCTCCCTTCCCCCACAGTTCTTGTTGTTTTCCCCCTAAGTGGGCAGGGTGGGGGGGAGTTATGTGTTGGTCATTGCAATTGGCCTTCCCTCGCTCCCTTCCTCTCTCACCTTCCCACTACCTTCGTGGTATCTCTCCTGTCTCTTTAATGACATCTTGCTTTCTTCATATATGGTGTTCTTGATAGCCCATAACTTCAGTTAATAGTGTTCAATGCATCCAATTGGTTCTTGTGATGGTCTCTAGATCCAGGTGGGATTTTTCGCTCTTGTGGACTTATTTTAGTTTTATTTAACTTCACCCTGAATTTGCATTTAATAATTGGTGCTTGTTCTACAGTGAGCCCTGCCCTCGTCTTGGTGACTCCGTCATCTCTTCCCACAGATGTAGTCAATTTGATTCCTCGGTCCTCCATCTGAAGTACACATTGTGAAGCAAGAATGGTGTAGGGTATATAGTGAGTCAATCTATTCTGAGATTGTCAAGCCAGCAGAGCAGAGGCAAGGGGAAACTCATATCGTAGCACATCAAGAATGCTCAGGAGCAAGCAGAAGCTCAAAGAACTAAGGACCTTCCTCCTGAGCTAAGAGAAAGAGAAAGGCTTCCCTGAGAGCAGCGGTTCTCAACCTGTGTCATGACCCCTTTGGGGAGCAAACGACCCTTTCACAGGGGTCGCCTAATTCATAACAGTAGCAGAATTACACAGTTATGAAGTCGCCAAGAAAATAATTTTATGGCTGGGGGGTTACCCCAACATGAGCAACTGTATTAAAGGGTCGTGGCATTAGGAAGGTTGAGAACCACTGCTCTAGAGCCAGGATCCTGGATCTGGATGACAGAATCATATTTCTGTCTGTTAATGCCACCCGTTTGTGGCATTTCTGGGGGTGGGTGGGTATTTTGGTCACAGAAACATAGAATAGGTGGGGAGTCAAGACAACTGAGATTGAGTTGGAACAATAAGCACTTGGAAAATGTGATTTTTCTTATCCATTTTCAAATATCCCCTATGGAAAAACTCTCTCTTAGAGGTCTTAATATTTACCTAATCCACTGCTTCTCTGATTATGATGTCCATGCTCCAGTAGGAATCGTATTAAAGAGCAGTGTTGATGCAAGTGCTGCTGCTGTCTCTGTGCTGGCATAACTCCACACGTTCAGAGCAAACAATACTCTGTCCTCTAAGACATCCTGCCAAGTGGTCCTTGGCCTCTGCCTGCATATCCCCCTGACTGGAAGTATAGTGTCTCCCAAGGATCCCTTCTTCTATGGAAGTCTTTGATTTAACATGAACTTTGCTTGTCTTGTAGCTTCAGATTAGAGAGTTTAATGGCAGCAGATGCTTGGGTTGATTAGCTAGCATCCTCTTTTGTAGGAGTTCAACACACATCCCCCCAATGAATTTCCACAAAGAGCTCCTGCATGCTGTAAACAGTGAAGGGCTGCCTGCTAATGAGAAGGTTGGGGGTTTAAATGCATCCAGAGGTACCTTGAAGAAAGGTCTGGCTGAAGGCCTTGAAACCCCTCTGACATGCACATGGTCTCCATGGGTGGGAACTGACTCTACAGCACCTGGCTGGGTGATTTGTTGTTGTTGTTGTTGTTGTTGTTGTTGTTGTTGTTGTTAATTCCCAAGAAATCTCTACCTGGAAGACACTGCTACTCTACAGGCAAGGAAACGGAGGCTCTGCAGAGTTCAGTGCTTTGCCCAAAGTAAAATTGCTTGTAGAAGGTGGACCCAGGATGCAAAGCTGGGTGCAGCAAACTGGTGCATGTGGGTGTTCTTGGTGACCAGGAGGGAGTGGACAACGCAGGGAGGTCCATCTCCGCTGTGGGAGGGGTTTCGGTGATGCCTACAACAACACAAGAAAGAGGGACTCTGGTGCTTTCTGCCCTCGCTTGAGCCCTCAAAGGAAATGCCCATAAGGAGAAAGGTCTCCGGTTAGAAATGTGCCCAAACCAGGTTCTGCCGAAGCCTGCTGAGCTGGCAGTTGACAGGACAGTCAGAGGTCAGGATGGAGATAGCCAGGGGCTGTCCTCGCTTTCCTTCCTGCACCCCTCCAAGCATCCTGGCATCTTAGTGCCTGCTTGAGTGGCTTTAATAAACAGCGAAATGTTTTTCTTTTCTTTTTTCATTCGGGCCGCAAGCCCAAATGTAGGGTGCCAGCTCTGGGCAAAGGCATTCTCTCTCTGGGTCCTTGTCTCTTTGAGCTTCTGCTCCTGGGCACCTGTGCTCTGCTGACTTGTTCCATCCCTTTTGTATGGACTCCAGATACACCCTTTACGACTCCTGCCACATTAACATACAAAGATGACCCATTTCCAAATGGGAGTATAATCACAGGCCAGAGGTTAGAATTCACAACACCTGTTGGAGGAGTGGAGGAGGGATGGGGCATACTTCAGTGGGTGGCGCCTGGAAATAAACACCTCTTTAACTGAGATGGCCTCAGGCAAGCGGATGATGTTGCAAAGCAAGCAAATCCAGCAAGCAGTAGGAAGGGCACTGGCCTCCCCACAACTTAATTTGTGTTTGCGGGCAAGAAGGAGCCACACAGCAGTCTCCTTTACTAAGATAATGGGTGTGAGGCTGCCTTTGCTGTGTGCTTTTGGTTGTAGCCCTAAAACCAAGGATCCCTCAAGAGAGTGTCTGGTTTCATGGATAATTACCTGCACTCCTGGGTAGCACCATCCATTACAAAGGCATTCAAATCGTTTGGAAACTGGCTCCAAGAAAAGATTAGGATAGAAGTCTTCAGCATCCTCAAATACCTGTGTAACATGTTTGGCCGGGATTGGCAGGCGAGGGTGCATAAAACGAAATGGCATTTCAATGTTCCTGAAGTTCAATAAATTAAATTACCAATTAGATTCCTGAGGCATATTATATACAAATGGACTACTTGCTCAAGAAGGGAACACTGGCCAAACACTTTTTTAAATAACTGGAGGACATGCAGGCTGCTTGGTGACATTGAATACCTGGGGGGTTCAATTAGAGTATGACTACAAATAGCTGTATTTGGAGGGAAAGCATATCATAATTTCTGTCCAGATTTCCCACTTTATTCTCTGAGGTCTTTACATAAAAGGAATGCAGGAAAATCTAAGTAATAAGATAACTCTAGCAACCATTTGCAGACAGCTCTACCTGTTTACGGTCCACTTTCAGACCCATTTACCCTGTTCACCGGTAAATAGAATCCATCTGTTGGTCTCATTTTAATGAGGCAACAGAGTTCTATTAGCCTTGGTACAAGAGACTGAAAGAGATGAAACTTGAACCTGGGCCCTCCAAAGCCATCCACAACCCTCTTTCTGTCACATCACGCTTCTTCTATCAGAAATGAGTCCTGGTGTCCCATCCAGTGTTCCATCCAAAGCTCAAGGCCAATCCCCCTCTGGGTCTGTCCTTCTCAGCCTGGCAAGGAAGCTCCAGATTTCTCAGCTTTCTCAGCTCCATCTTTTCCCTCCCTCCAGGGGACTCTATGGCCTACCACAATGGCCGATCCTTCTCTACATTCGACAAAGACACAGATTCGGCCATCACCAACTGCGCCCTGTCCTACAAGGGGGCTTTCTGGTACAAGAATTGTCACCGTGTCAATCTGATGGGCAAATATGGGGACAACAACCACAGTCAGGTAAGTGAACTAGTAGAGAGGGGACTGTGTGTGTTGGGTGGGGGTGGGGGGTGCGGATTCCCAAGACAGGGCTCAAGATATCAGTTGGTGCTGATGGGAGTCCAGTTCATCCTCCCCATGCTGGCTGAGTTTGGCAGGCAGAGCATGTAACCGATTGAGACAGAATCTCAGTGACACCGCAGATCCTGTAAGAGAACAGACAGTGCATGTGGAGCCCCGAAGACACCAACAAGAGCGCTGGTCAAGTGGAATCCAAACACGGAGACTTTGGCTCAGACACCATCTTTCTTGGAAACCCCAAAATATTAACAGAGAAGAATGAGGGTCTTGAGGTGAAGCAAAGGAAAGATGCAAAGACCCAGCATGCCACCTCCTCTCGTGGCAGAGAGCCCATACCTGGCCTGGAGGCACCCCTGGGACTCCAACACCCTGGCATGATGCCCCAAACTTCTAAGCCTTTATTTTGGGAAATATAAGAAGGAGACCCAAAAGTGTATTATTCGCTGCACAGGGGACTCTGGGCTTCCGTTAAGGATGATGGGAAATTTGGGGAACCGATCATGGTGATGGTTGAGCATGACCACATGATAAGTGTTGCTGAGGTGTGCATGGCACATGGAAAATTATATATATATATATATACCCATTTACCAAAACAAGAACACGACAGACTTTGGTTTCTGCCACCTCCAGCGAGGGCTTACGTCCAGCTCTGACCTCTATCAGAGTAAAGGAAGACACGGAGGAAGAGGACGTGGTATAAGGACCCAGCTGCACGGCCGCAGTCCCCACTGTAGCTGAACAATTACAAGCACATTTGCCCATTAAATGCATCACCCAGTTTTCAATGCCACATCCCTGTCGGGCACAGAGACTTCCTGATGTCAGTGGATTCTGAATAATCAGAATCAAATAAAACATCTCTGTTTGGCCCTCTTTCCTTCATCATTAACTTCTCCATGAACACCCCACAGCCCCATGCAGCTGAGAGAGAAGAGGGGTGCAGCATCACGGGAGTGCTCTGTGAAGTGGAAGCTACCAAATCCGGAGTCCCCAGGCCCTTTGGATCTGAGGGGCAGATTCGGCCTACCTTTGGTCTTTAAACCACCAGCCAGTTGCCATGCAGTTGACTCTCATTCACAGTTATCCCATGATTTGCTTCAAACTGGGTGTTCAATGGCTGATTATTTCTTCTGAGGAACCTGAGTAGACTTGAAGTTCCAATCTTTCAATTAGCAGCAAAGAGTGTTAACTGTGTGCACCGCTCCCTGCTATCTTTCGGCTCTTCTATCAAGAATCTACTAGGGATCCGTAGACCATGCAAGATGTTAAGCACCCGACTACTAACTTGAAGGCTGCCAGTCCAAACTAATCCAGAGATGACTTTGAAGGCCTGGTGACTGACTTGGACAACAATCAGCCTTTGAAAGTCCTGTCGTGCACACTTCTACTCTGTAACACATAAGGGCATCGTGAGTCAAAATTGACTCAACATCAATATATTTGGGGTGTTTTATTTTTTTAATTTTTAAAGAGTCAAACCTGAAATCAGAAGCCCTGGGTACAAATATAATCTTTTCTTAGAGAAAATCTTTGGCCCCCGTTCCGAAAATATTTCTGACCCATTTTCCAAAGTAATTGAAGGTAAGGAAATAATATTTACCCAGGACCTACAACATGCCCGGCTCGATAATTACTCCCTTGCAAATTTACTTAATCTTGAATGCTTCCTTGCAATGTGGCATTATCCGACCTGAAGGGAAGCAATTTAGTGAAAATGAGATTCAGAAAGGCTTAGTCACGTACTCAGGATTATTTAGGTTTCAAACAGCCTTCTAGTGAGGTGACAAGCTTTTTGGTTCATGTATATTTTTTCTGCTATCCACAATACAACCTTACAAGTATATTTAATGAGAATTTTGGGAGTTATGGATCTCCTTGTATACCCCAAAATCCACTGCCAATAAGTTGACTTTGGCTCCTAGTGACCCTGTGTAGTGTTTCTGAGGCTGTAAATCTTTGCAGGAGCAGACAGCATCATCTTTCTCCTGAGGAGCAGCTGGTGGATTTGAAGCACTAACCTTGCAGTTAACAGTCCAACACTCACCTAACACTGCCATCAGGGCTCTTTTCTCCTGGTGCTGAGTCATTCAGTCCAGTGACCTCCAAGTATGACCTAAATTCCTTCAGAACTTAATGCTAACCATGGTGACTTTCATCATTCTCATCAACCACTATTTGTTTCAAGATGGTAGATAAAGGCAAACTCAGGTAGCATCTGCCTAACGTAGAAGACTAGGTGTTATTCAGCCAACCCTCTTGAAACGTCATGACACAGACCAACAGGCAAATAAGAAAGGGACTGCTTGGAAACAGTAGATGCTCAGATTGGAACAGAGTTTCTTATCTCATTGCTCATCTAACTAGAAATGGCCAGTGAATGCGCTGCCTAGCAGAAACCAGCCTAGAGCCCTCATCCTCTCTCTCTCTATTTGTATTTCTGCAGGGTGTTAACTGGTTCCACTGGAAAGGCCACGAACACTCCATCCAATTTGCTGAGATGAAGCTGAGACCCAGCAACTTCCGAAATCTTGAAGGCAGGCGCAAGCGGGCATAAATTCCAGGGACAACTGGGTAAGGGAGGAGGCGGGCCCAGAGAAAGGAAAGAATTGTACCAAAGGATCAATACAACCAGTCCAACCATCCAGCCACACCTGGACACGTGGCATGAGTCAAAGTTCACCTTGGATCACTGAGGCCAACAGGAACAACAAGCAAGCTCGATCACTTGGCGATTACTTCCTTCGCACCAAAGACAACAGTCTCCATAGGTTTCTGTCTTGATACAGCAAACATCTTCCAGTGACAGCATCACCATGATTTTGACTTCTCTTGGGTGGCTCTGGGAATGGGAGTGGGGTAGGCTGTACATTGGTAGTTTGTTATAGGACCAGCTGTATCTTACACAAAGCTGTATAATTAATGATCGCTATTTTTGTTAGCAAGGTTTTAAATATGTGTCATTGGAAGACGTCCCTTTTTTACATTTCATACACCAGAAACAAGGAAAGCAATATCATTTTGATCTTAAGGACATGATTAATAGTATTAATATAATAATAATGTTGATGATAAAAACTAAGTGTTTTTAAAGAGATCTCGTTTCCAAAACACAGCTGGACAGTACCTGATTGTAATTTTGGTGGTTGTGGTTTTGGGGGGTTTGTTTTTTAATAAAAACACAAGTACTTTTAAGTTTGACTGTTATTTTACCTTGCCTCATGGAGTCTGAATTCTACCAGAGTCAATGTATTTAAACACAGAGAGGGATGCTATAAGGAGAAATAAAAGGAGATGGTGGCCAAAGAAAGAGAAAGAAGAGAAAAGAGATTGAAAGTTTTGTCTTATTTTGGGTTGATTTTGCTTTCGTTGACATCTAGATGAGGCCAACGTTTTTGAGCAAAGTTGGTCAAGATTGAACAATGCTTACAGCTTAAGAGTTGGATTTTTGGGCAATACATTGAAGACTTAGGGTTTAAAAGCTGCTTTTATACCCACTTTCATTGTAATATCTTACACGGACTTTTATTACACAAAATAAGATTATTATTACACAAGGGTTTAAATCACCAGCATCCTATTGCCTCAGTTCAAATGCAAGCTCTCTGTGTCTCAGTTTCCTCATCTCTACTGTGTGGATAATAACTCTTCTTGCTTCATAGAGTTTATTAGAGGAATCAATAAGTTCTTTCATGTGAGGATCTTACCACAATGCTTGATATGTTTTCAATGCTAGTAAGACCCTGAGTTGACACTTATCTATGAACCAAAAGGTTAGCAGTTCAAACCCACCCAGAGGCACCTTGAAGAAAAACTTGGTGAGCTACTGCTACAAGATGGCAATCACAAAAAACCCTTTGGAGCACAATCCTACCCCACATACTTGGAGTCACCGTGAATGGGATACGACTTAACCACCACAAGTCTTGTTTGAATGTTCCTTTATCACTACTATCAATTATAGTGTAGTGGTTATAGATTGGACTGTGATCCCCAGGGTGGGCAGTTCAAAACCACCAGAAACTCTATGGGGAAAATATTGGGCATTCTACACCCATAAATAGTTACTGTCTCTGGAACCCACAGGGGGTGGCTGTGAGTCAGCATTGACTTGATGGCAGTGAGTTTGAGGGGTTTGGGGGGTATGGTTTTACCAGTGATAGACCTGGTCCGCAGAAGTGCAGTGATCGGCCTATGGCTTCCTACCTAATTCATAAGATCACTTGAATTTAAATCCGGGCCTTGAGGTGCTTGATTCTCCTGCTCTCTGCAAGACCTCAAGGAGACCTTCTCCACCCCCGAGGGAGTGGGTGCCATGGGGAGGGAGCACATGTTGCTGAACAGGGTGAGAGGTACGTCCCACTGGGGCACGCATCTTCCCACCAAGCTCTTAGTCTTAGAAGTAGAAATCACATTAGAAATAGCTTCCTCTCCCTTCACCAGGCCCCCTAAAAGGAAGGGAACCCAGTGTTAATACCTGGACCTGAACATTTGAAGCAGCAGGAAGCTTGCTGCCAGCACCACCGATCGGTTTGACCTCAGCAAATTTTCATTTCCCCTCACCCCTTTATAAGAAGAGATATGTTGAGCAGTGCGTGGTTCTGACTCACTGTGAGGGGAAATGAAATCCCCAGTTCATTCTCTTAGGGAGTTTCAGCAATTGACTTTTGAATGAAGACACTTGAACCAACTCCTTCAAAGAGAAGGTAATGTCCCAGTAGTCAGCATCAGAGGAATGTATGCATTTATCTTGCGTCAGTCAATGCTTCACTGCTGAGTTTACCTTGCTTGAATAAATACTATCATGTTATATTCACAATTTGCTCTTCCACATCATGAAACTTGTTAGGGGCTGTCAAGTCAGGTCTGACCCATAAGGACCCGGTGCACAACAAAATGAAGTGTTGCCCTGCCCAAAGTTATCCCCACACGACGCTGTTCTCTTTGAGCCCACTTTCCCGGTCCATCTCCTTAGGGAGGTTCTCCCCACTGCTGACTCTGCTACACCAAGCACGATGGCCTTCTCTGGGGACCAGTCTCTCCTGATAACATGTCCCAAGTATGTGAGACAAAGTCTCACAACTTCCAAGTATAGTTGATAGCATTTAATATTCTGCAAAATCATAAAGGCATCACGTCTTCTTTGGTCTTAGTTATTTATCATCCAGTTTTCCCATACATTTGATGAAACTGAAAATACCCTGAGTTGGGCGGCCACGCCTTCACCCTCAAAGTGAGATCTTCGGTGTTTCAAAGCTTTCCAGCGTCTTTGCAGCAGATCTGTTAAGTGTGATGTGTTATTTGATTTCTTGACTGCTGCTTCCATGGACCTTGATTGACAATGAAAATCCTAGACTTCAGTCTTCTCATTGCCTATCAGGATGTTGTTTCTCTGTCCAGTTGTGAGGGTTTTTGTTTTCTGTGTGTTAAGATATTATCCATACTGAAGCTGATAGTCTTGGATATTCATTAGTCAATTCTTCAAGTGCGCTTGTTTTCCATAAGGCACGTTGACTCACCTGCATAGAGCATGCTAATCATGGGCTTTCCTCTGATCTGGACACCACATTCTTCTTCATATTGTCCAGCTTCTCAGCACACAGATTGAGTAAAGGTGGTGAAAGCTTACAACCATGAAGCACACCATTTTATTATTATTATTATTATTATTATTAGCCATGCAACAGCCCCTGGTTCATTGTGCATGACTTCCTCTTGGCCTACGAACAGTTCTACATAAGCATAGTTTTTAAAAATCATTTTATCGGGGGCTCATACAACTCTTATCACAATTCATACTTATATCCATTGTGTCAAGCACATTTGTACATTTGTTGCCCTCATCATTCTCAAAACATTTGCTTTCTACTTGGTATGAGCTCCTCATGTTCTTTCCCCTCACATAAGCATAATTAATTAAGTGTTCTGGAATTCCCATTCTCCATGGGAGAGAGAATGAGGCTTTCTACTCCCATAAAGTTACAGTCTCAGAAATCCACAGTGCGCAGGCAATTCTACTCTGTCCTATAAGGTCGCCATGAGTCAAAATTGACTCAGAGGCAGTGAGTCTGGGGAGCAGACTTTCCTTACTGGAGTAACTCAAACAAACCCTGTAACAGCCAAACCTCAAGTGGGATGCTTAATCCCCCACTGGCTGCTGACGTCAGATTCTCTCAGCCCCAATCCCACACCTTCTCCAAAGCTGTAATTGACTAAACTGTTGAGCTGTTTCCCAGAAGCCACACCAGATTAAGATTCTGGTTGATCTAAAGCTACGTCAAGTACCAACACTGAATGATGGCATTTGGAAAGTTGCTGATACCACCAAATGAGTATCATAGGGAGAAAGATCAAGATCACAAGATGTGAGCCACATGCTCTAGACACAAGTGTGCTTTCCCATTGGGAAAGGTTTGTTGAAATTCTACTCTAGTCTCCAAACCCAGGGTCCCTCCTCCACCCACCACCCCGTCACCGCCTGTGGACCACTGTGAAGAAACGATATGTGTATTAGGCTTGGCCACCTTCTGGTCTCCAGTTGGGTATCAGTGGGAAGTAGCAACAGAGTACTGAAGGGAGACCAGAGGTCGTTAGACAAGCTGGGGTGTGTTCCTGATTCATCTCTACCCTGTCTCCCTAGACTGGCGGTGTCCCTGACAAAGAGAGGCCACAGTGCCTACTGGTGACACCTCCACAGATCCACATCACCCGAGTTTCTCCACTGATGCTTCCAGCTCTTGCTCGACCTTGGAACTGCCCTAGCCCTTGCAATTTTTCCTCCAAACTGGGCACCCCTTGGAAACTAGTTCCTCTACTTAAACTCTCCTCGGAATCCTGATGGACACACACACTCTGCTGGGAGTCCCATGTTGTGCTGCCGTGTAGCTGCCTGACTCCATTAGAATCTCCACTCACAGCTCTCTCTCTCACAGTAGATCATTAGACTAACACGCAGCATGTATGGACTCAAACATAGAAACAATGGCGAGGCTGGCACAGGCCCGGCCAGTGCTTTGTTCTGGTGTACGTGGGGTTGCTGTGAGTCAGAACCAACTCGTTGGCACTGCACAACAACATTTTAAAATCATTTTATTGGGGGCTCATACAACTCTTATCACAATCCATCAAGCACATTTGTACATTCGTTGCCATCATCATTCTCAAAACATTTGATATCAACTTCTCATTTTTTCCCTCTCTCCCTCCCTCATGAACCCTTGATAATTTATAAATAGCTATTATTTTTTCATGTCTTACACTGACCAATGTCTCCCTTCACCCACTTTTCTGTTGTCCGCCCCCCTGGGAGGGAGTTGTATATAGATCATTGTGATCGGTTCCCTTTTTCGCCTCTCACCTTCCCCTTCCCCTCCTGGTATTGCTACTCTCAATATCGGTCCTGGATTCCCTGTGTTTTCAGCTCTTATCTGTACCCATGTACATGCTTTGGTCTAGCCAGATTTATACGGTAGAATTGGGATCATGATAGTGGGGGGTAGGAAACATTAAAGAACTAGTGGAAAGTTCTGTTTCATCAGTGCTATACTGCACCCTGACTGACTTGTCTCTTCCTTGTGACCCTTCTGTAAAGGTATGTCGAATTGTTTACAGATAAGCTTTGGGTCTCCACTCTGCACTCCCCCTCATTCACATTGACATGCTTTTTTGTTCTGAGTCTTTGAGACCTGATACCTGATCCTATTGACACCTCATTATCACACAGGCTGGTGTGCTTCTTACATGTGGACTTTGTTGCGTCTCAGCTAGATGGCTGCTAGTTTATCTCCAAGCCTTTAAGACCCCAGATGCTATATCTTTTGATAGCAGGGCACCATCAGCTTTCTTCACCACATTTGCTTATGCACCCATTTTGTCTTCAGTGATCCTGTTGGGAATGCCGGGTTATTGGAACAAAGTGCCCTTGTATTGAGGGAATATTTGAGTAGAGGCCCAATGTCCACCTGCTACCTTACAAATAACTAAACCTATAAATACATGTACATAGATCTATTTCCCCATCGTCATATATAAATATATTTACATATGTACATGCCTGTATTTAGACCTCTATAAATGCCTTTTGCCTCCTAGTTCTTTCCTCTATTTCAGCAGTTCTTAACCTGTGGTTGCAACCCCTGTGGGGGTTGGACAACCCTTTCACAGGGGTCGCCTGATTCTTTACAGTAGCGGAATTA